AATCATCAGCATACTTTGACATACACAGACTGCCTTCACTCCAATCACAGGCACAAGAAGCAGACACAAAACTGACACTCAAATCCAACCTCTCATAAATATCGCCCTCACTGCCGTGGGCGTGCTGCAGCTGAACGTGTGTGTACAGAAGAAAAAAATATTGTGTGACGTAACCCGATTAAGGCTTCTAAAGCAGCAATTACTCCACAGATAAATAACAGAGAGATTTTTGATTTATGCATGTCTCAAATGTGCAAACTACTGTAACATGTGCCATCCTTACAAACACAGGAGACACCGATCACTTCATGGTCCCACAGGCACTTCAGATTTTGTGAGACTGTGACATGAAAAAGGCAACAAGATCACAGCAACAGTGAAACTGGCCCGCCTGGAGGGAAAAGTAGTGCTTGAAACATGTAGGTGAGAGTAACAGGGGCTGAATATTTAAACTATTTGACACAGTCAAAGCTTTAACCAATCCATGAGATTGTCTAAACAGGTTGTTTGGAAATTTTGTCGACCAGGCTGACACAATCGCGAGTGACATATTAAAAACGAGGAATGTCCTGCTGTGAAAATATTTAAAATTAGGCTGAAAATCCTTCAAGTTAGAGAAGATCTAACGTGACTGAAGTGCAGCTTATTTTTCTGACCACCAAACTATTTACACGAGACATTTGGCACAAAGAAACCACCGTTAACCGACCACACGAGAAATGAGACCTCAGAACAAACTACATTAGTGCCCTACACGTGTACGGGTGTGTGTAAATAGATATATGTGTGTGTGTGGAGACATTTTAAAGTACACTTAATAAGCCACAGTGTCATTTTCCATTTTTAAAAAAGTGTTTGCACGATGAGAAATGTGATATGATGGCATTAGTTTAGAGAGAAATTGCATTTTTTTGTACAGTTTTCTTTTTTTCTTATGGAACGTCATAACAGTCCCACAAGATCTCCCCCTGCTGGTGATCTTCACTCACCACAGGTGAAATATAAACATTTAAAATGCTGCATTTTCTGCACAAAAACAACAAATAGTTAAAGTAGGCTAAAAATCACTCACAGATCATTTAAGAAGCAAACTAAAGCAACACTGATTAGATAAAATACAGTCATTGTTCAGATTTTGTTATGTTAAAAGTGCTACAAGCTTTCGGGTAAAGTGATCAGCTGTCTAAAATAAGACAAAATAAAGAAAAAAAATCTTAATACCTTTATATTTCCTTCGTAAGGCGCTTGGTGATCTTAAAATGTGAAGAAAAGAATGAATAGCAATAACTCATAAAGCATAAAGGAATGTATCCCGTATATCTTCCACATATTCAATGTGAATCAGAGCAACTTTCAGGGCTAAAAATCAATCAATCGTACACGTCTATCTACTGTTAACATGTTTAACTCCGAGCTCGAGATAAAGTAATTTGATTCGGTATCTCTTGTCCCCTGAAATGTTTAAAATAAAAACAAATAAACTAAGCAAAGAGTTTCCAGCTGCTTTTCCATTATTTGAGACACAAACTGTTATTAAAGCAGCAGAAAAGCTTCTTAAATAGTGAAAAGTTAAAAGCCAAAGCAACCTTTGACATACTGCATTTCAATGTCTTGATGATGATGAAGAGGGACATTGCTTGAAGGACGCCGTCCCAGAACTCTAACTGGTGATAACTGACAGATTTTTGGTGCGATTTGACGATGCGAGGGCTCGCTGTGGATCACACCGGCATTTGCATCTCCGAGTACTCGTCGTGACAATCACGCTCGTCAAACTTTGGCTCTGCGTCGTCAGCATCCAGCTAAAAGAAGGACAACAAGTCAGTAACCTGAACTAACTCCGAAACAGTTGTGACTCATTTAAA